AGGAAGCAGATCCTGGCCCAAGGTTCTCACATCAATTATATAGCTCTGCCTTTCAGCTCTTTAAGCGGCTTCCAGGTATAGTTTGGCTTCCCATCAAGTTCATTTATTATCATAAGAACACTGGCTTTTGTAATCATTAAGTTGATTTCCCATTAAAAATTAGCGTGTTGCCCTTGGGCTTGCAAACCTCACTTTTCAGTGAGTTAGGCAGAGTGTGTTAGCTTCTGTGCTGCTAGGCCTGCTTTCTAGAGCTGCAATACTGATGAGTAACTCCTTGGCACAATTAGACAGGCATTTCCTGGTGCCCCCTTTCCTTTTCACAGGTCTCTCCCCAAACCCTGCACTTCTGGTCCACCTGGGAAGATGTCTTTGAGCGCTTCCAAAACAACCCCTTTGTGCCAGGGTCCCAGGGTGTGTGTGTGTGGCTCTGTGAGGGTTAGTTTATGCTGTTTTCAGATTAAATAACTACATGCAACCTTGAAATGCACTGATGACACACAGAGCAGATATGGAAGGGTGCCTGTACATCATCCCCTGGGGTTTCTTATTGCTAGGATACTGATTTTGGTTCAGGATAGCACTGTGCCTGACACGGCAAAAGTGTGTTGGCCGACTTTTCCTGCAAAGGTCAAGACAGTAAGATTTACTTTGTCAGCCAAAGGGCCAAACTAAAGATATTATGTAGTTAACTTTCATATAATTTTTAGAAGTCATGAAATACTATTTTTTTGACTTCTCCTCCCACTATTTGTGGGCTGCACCAAATCAGGTGGTGGGCTGAACTGGGCCTGTGGAATTGTCAGATCCCTGCTGCAGACCAGTCACACCTACTTCCTTACACAGGTCTTCACATCATGGTGGCCATGTGATTTGATTCTGGCCAATCAGATCCTGAGTGGAGGTGTGCAGGGGGTGAGGTGGTTCTGGGCAAGTTCTTGGAAGCTTGATGAAAGGAGACAATTTCTATAGCCAAATCTCTTCTCCTTTGTTCTCTGCCATGAACAACAAATGAACTATGGCGTCACTGATCATCGGGCAACAGAGAACAGAAGCCCATACAACAAAAATAATGAAGCAGATAGAAAGAGCTTGTCAATTCCAGCAATGCATTTACCTTGTAAATGTCAAGTAAGCAATGAATGCCCTGGGTGTTAAGCCGCTATTGATCACCTTCCTTATTGCTTGCTATGTTCTCAGGACCTAGTGTGCTAGAAATTTCTGAGACACTTGTTTCTCACATTTGGTCTCCCAAGGGTGCTTTGTCCTACGTGACCCATTTCATTCCTACTTGACTGGCCCTGCTAGGAGATCTGCCTCAAAATTAGTCGATTGTTAGGCTGGCCTGTGACCCATGACTACTGTGGCTTGTTTTAAATGAGGGATGGGATCAATTTGATTTCCTCTCCCAGGAAGATGAACTGAGATTCCTCCTTTGATTTCTGCCGGGACAGAAAGAAATGGACACAAACAACATAGCAGAGTCTGGTGAATGGTGACTCCTGAAAGAAATATGTATAAACGTCACAGCTGAAGGGCCTGCAAATGCTTCCAGGCATCCTCACCTCCGGCTCCTGGCTTTCAAAGCTCAGACTGTGGCAGTCTCATTTCCTGTTTCTTCTTGACTCCAAATGCATCTTGCAGTCTTCCTTTAATTCCCTTAGACCACAGCAGTTTCAGAATATACCCTTCCAGGGTGGGGGTTGGGGAATGAGGGTGGGGTGGATTTAGCATTTCCTTTGATTCCTTGCTCCCCGTCAGAAGCAGGGTGGGGAGGCGAAGCCAGGACCACCTGAGAGCAGGGCCAAACCCATCTTCTCAAAGACTCCAGCCTCAGGGTCACCTGGGTCCACTCGCTCCCCAGGGAGTTGTCCTAGGCTAGTAGAGAGACTGGGGGACCAGTTTAGCCTTTACAAGCATCTGGTTTTGTACTTCCCAGAGCAGAGAAAGAGAGAGGAGAGAGAGAGAGAGAGAGAGAGAGAGAGAGAGAGAGAGAGAGAGAGAGACACAGAGAGAGACAGAGAGAGACACAGAGAGACACAGAGAGACACAGAGAGACACAGAGAGAGAGGCAGAGAGACGAGACAGAAAGAAGGAGAGAGAAAGAGAAAGAGCAAGAGAGAGAGAGAGAAGAGAGAGAGAGAGAGAGAGAGAGAGAGAGAGAGAGAGAGAGAGATGAAATTACTTTCCAAGTGGATGTTGAACATGTAGCCCCTGGGGGGTGTAACAGACTGGAATAGAATCAGGGTCAAGAGGGCTCTGAGGAGGCAGAGCTCTGACAGGTCACTGAGGGGAGTGTGACAGAGGTCCTAAATCTGTCCCCAAAAATTGTCAGTGTCCCGGGAGGGACAGAGGGACTGACTTGAAGGGCAGTGCCCTCACCTGTCGGGGTGGGGGGAGCACTGGGATTCTAGATGAGAGGGCTGGGTGGATGAGGAGGGCATGTGGGGTGGGCTTTCCAGTAGAAGTACATGGTGCAGTGGCTCTCTGAGGATATTCATGGGCTGTAACCCAGGATGAGTTGGATGAAAGTAACCAGGGCCACTGCAGGACACTCAGGACAGCTTGGAGCAGGGGATCTGGAAAGGAAGTCTTGGGAGGATGAGACGGTTCTTTCTGGTAGGTGCACAGTGGAGAGTGTGGCCAGGGTTAGCAGCTTTGCAGGAGGCTGGTTGCCCCAGGGCTTTTATTCTGGGTGCTGGGGGTCAACCAGGGGCTTATTCACCCAGAATTACCGTCTCTTGGGGGTCATTTATATTCAAGTGGATGTGGAATGGATGAGTCTACCTGGAGAGTTCAAAAAGAGGGAATAAAACCCCAGGGAACACTGAAGGTCAGGGACAGAAGTCTTTGGAGGAAGCAGAAAGAGTGGTTCACTCTTCAGAAGAGAACCCAGGGCTATGGTCCAGAGGCAGGGAGGGTATGGTCCACTTCAGGAGGCCAGGGCTGGCCACCAGTTTGGACTGCAGCCACTAGCTTGGCTACAGGCCACCAATGTGGACTGTGACCAGAGAGTCAGGGAAGGAGACCAGGGAACTGGATGGCCCCAGGTGGCCTATAAAAGTGGAAGAGTGTGGGAAGCAAGGCAAGGTGGGTGGCAAGAGCCCAGCAGACTGCCCCTTGGGTGCCGGGTAGGGGCAGGAACCAGGCTTTCTAAGGATAAGGGAGGGCAACTTGGACAGATGCCAGCGTCCTTGGAAGCTTGCTTCTGTTCAGTCACATCTCACAGGACCGTATTTTCCTACTCTTCGAGTCCTTGAGGCCCCTGGCCTTAAAGATCGTGTAAAGGAATTCCTACTCCCTGAAGGCAATGGTTCCATTTTTTACAAGCACCTCAGGGAGAGTGTCTAATCAGCCATAACAGTGCAGGGCTGAGGCAGCTGGGGACTGGGAAAGAGTGCCGTGAATTTCCAGTTCCCTGAAATCACTTGCCAATACCTCCCTCCTCCAGAAGGGCTGCTACAATTTCCTCCACTCCTTCGGCCCCGCTCTATGTCCCTGTCTGGTTCTAAGAGCAAGGTCAGAAGCAGTGCTTTACTGGTTATCAGCACATGGTCCGGGATGCTCCTGCTGCCTCGGGGCCTCTCTGGGGCTCCCTTCCCTCCTGCATCTCCTGAAGGCTCATTGCCTAATGTGGAGGGCGCAGGAGAGGCAGCTCTGAGCAGAGTCCCTATGTCTGGGGGGGGGGGAGGCTGAGCTCTGAACTTTAGGAATGTTTTGCAGATGATCATGATGCCTGAATCAAGTTCTTTTTTTTTTTTTTTTTTAACTTTTTTTTTTTTGTCTTTTTCCTTTTTATCGGTACCGGGGATCAAACTCACAACTGCCTGCTTCCAAGGCAGGTGCTTATGCCGCTGAGCTAAATCCCCAGCCCCCGTGAATCAAGTTCTGATCAAGCTGCCAGCCCCCTGCCTCCACTTCTGGGCAGGATGGTCCCCCCAAAACTTTCGTGTGAGGCCTCTGCCTGTGGACTTAACTGCTGTGGTGTGTGTAAGCCAAGGTTTGCCCTGCCCAGAGAGACTCAGAGATTCTTCTCAAACCTAAGACTGGTAATGAAACAGGTTGGGTGATCCCTGCCCAGTGGCCAGTATCAACTCGCTTGCCACTGGGGTCTGTTCTGTCACTGACCCTCAGCTTGACTGATGGCCTCAACCTCTGTGAAAAGAGAGCAAAGGCTGTCTGTTCTCCAGCTTTAGCGCAGCCAATATGCCCCAAAGTGGGGCTGTCTTTGGAGTGCTCAGCATGGTCCCAGCATTTGCTGCAAACTTTCCTTCCTGTGCCTGGGTCTGGGGGAAGCCAGATTCTTGGAGCCCAGACCCATCATAGACCTGTGTGTGAAATATCTGCTTCTGAGCCCCACTATTTCCTGCTCTTTAAACCTCATGAAACCAGTATGAAAAGCCTTACAGGGTTGTGACTTTCCACCTGACTACCTTCTTGGTACAGGACCCGAAACGTGGCTCAAAATACTTGTCTGTGTTGGCCCCAGCAGCTGGCTCTTCCAGTTTCAGAACAAATGTAGACACTGAGGTACTCTTTATCCAGCTCTCCTCCTCAGAGGTCACTAGCCACAGTCATCTCTGGTTGGTATCATCTGGCTGAAAACTGACTTGCCTATAATCCCTGAGAATGTGAGATTTTACTCAAAGCTAACAAACCTGGCTCCCAGCTATGGGTTCTCACAACATCCAAGTATACTGTCTACTTGGGCTTGTATTTTTTTTTATGTAAAATAACATTTACCCTTTTAACTGATGGCCACCTTCCTCAGCAAGGCCCTCAGAGCGTCACAGATGCATGTAGGGAGAGTGACAAAGGGGAAACTTGTGCTTATAATTACTATTTGTTTCCCAAGATGAATCATGCAAATTTTAAAAGCCAACAAGATTCCTAAGTCCTTTGGTTATACCAAAAGTTCTGCGGGACGGCAGCCATCAGTTAAGAAGACTTAAATGGAAACTTAAAAGGCGAATGTAGACTCAGTCTATCCTGCTGGCCTAAAGTTTTAGAAAAAAATTTTTTATGGAGTATAGGCTAAAGAGGAACAGTTTGCACAGTCTGGACAAAATATAAGTACTCTTACCAATAAATATGTTTCAAAATGACAAGTAAAGCTCTCCCCATTTGGCAGCTCGGAATCCCAGCAAAGTGATGGGCGCAGGCACAATGAGCTATGTACAGAGTGTAAACAGTAGGCCCTTGAGGGAATCATAGGGGCAGGGCCAGGTGAGGGGTGCACAGGGAGGACATGGGCGTGTGGGGAGGGATAGTGGGCCCAGGGTAAATACGACGACAGGTTTGTACATCAGTCGTCTAATACTCCGTCACAACTTTCAGGTGGTTGGTGACAGGTGCACTGGGTTCCTGTGGTCGGCAGTAAGGAGAAATGTGACCACCGAGGCCCCTTGGCCCCACTAACCACTTCCCTGGGGGCGATGAGAAGGCCTCCGTGTTCTTCCTCCCTAGAGGCAGGGACAGGGGCAAGCTGTCTGGCCATTTTAGGACTGGCTGCCCGGCTCAAGGCCAGGCCGACCAGCAGTTTCTCAAACAGGGATTAGGCCAAAATGCTTCATGGTTCTTGCAGCCCTTCCCTTCTAGGAAAAAGAGTTCTGGGCACCTATGTCCAGCAGGGGGCCCCCATGATTGCCCAGTCGTAAAGGGCTCCAACCCCAAGTCCATCCCCAGTTGCTAAGGATGCCACAGAGCCACCTCCTGACCTCTTCCCAAGTCCCCGATCCACACAGGCCTCTCTCCCCACAGCGCCCCCTACCCGGCCCCCAGCACACTCCTCAGCCCAGCTGCTACGTCCTTAAATATCAGTCTCCCGGAGGTTGGTATAGTCGGCTTCCTCATAGCCCTGGCAGGTGGCGCCCTCGGCCACATCCTGGGGAACTCCGAGACACACGGCCTCCACCTCGGCACGCAGGGAGCACGCAGCCTCTGCGCGCTGCGCGCCCCCGGCACGGATCTTATGGGACAAGCTGGAGACCTTGGCGCGCAGCTGGGTCGTGGGTCTCCGGAAGGGCCCGAGCAGCCGCCACTCGCGGAAAGTGCTGGGCAGCTTTCGCCGGCCAGGAATCACGGCCCGCACCTCCGGTGTGCCGGGGGCCGGGGGCGCGGTGAGGGCCAGCGAGGTCCCGGGGGGCGCAGCGCCCGGGCTAGAGGCGCAGTCGGGGTGCGGGCCACTGGTCGAAGCCCGCCAGTGGTGGCCGTAGACGCGCCAGAGGGGACGGCGGCGGCGGCGGCGGTGACACTGGCAGCGCAGGAGGCGGAGGAAGGCGCGCTTGAACTCGCGGCTGGAGCAGGGGTAGATGAGCGGGTTCACGCAGCTGTTGAAGTAGCCAAGCCAGAAGATGACCTTGAACACGCCCTCGGACGGCTTCAGCTGCGGGAACAGGGAGCCTGTGGGAACAGAGACCCACCGGGTTAGTAGCTCCCGCGGGGAGCCCTGAGCACAAAGGGGAGAGCATCCTACCCCAGGAGCCCAGCCCAAGCCTTCCACCATGTGCTCTCAAGGGATCCCCGTTAAGGGTTCCCTCATGTAATTCAGGAGCTCCATGAATTTGGACTGGGGAAAAAAATAGGCATTGTCACATCTATTCACTTCTACCTAACAACAAGCCAGAGCAGAGTTAGGCAAAACCATGTTGCTTTTTTTTCCTTTTTTCTCCATGTTGCTTTTGTAGATCAGAATTGATGCAATATTGACGGTTCCTGCAGATATTTTTCCTATCCCATGCAGTTGTTACAGATGTTGTGAAATATCCTCTGTGTGTTCCACCATATTAGAACTCACCACTAGATCTGTGTAATGCTTTAATACAGAAGCACGTTTCTCACCAAGTCACACATTGCAGGTGAAAATATTTGGACAACTTTTTCAATAAAATCAGTTGCATTTTAATCTTTGGTATTTTGTGTTATGCGGAGAAGGAAGCCATAGGCTTCACCAGATGCCTACGTGGTCCCTAGCACAGAGGAAATAAGAATCCTGGAACTAAATATTGACCAGTGCACACCCCAATCCAGGCACTGTGTGGGGCCCTTAGATATGAGAAGACTTAAACACAGCCCTGGGTTCCTGAGCCAGCAGTGTGAACAAGGTGTCACTGAAATGCAGGTGCTGAAAGTAGTGCTCAGTAGGGAGCCCCAGGCTCAGCGACAGCTTCCAAGCATGGACGGGAGTCAGTGGGATGGGAAGGGCAGAGGCGTGGAGGAGGACAGGTGGGCAACAGCATGCCGAGGGAAAGTCTGCAGGGTAGACTCAGAGCACTATTGGGGAAAGATGGTAGAGAGCCTTAAATACTGCAAGCTTCAGCTCTTGGTGTTGGTATTTGGGAACTATGAGTATTTATAAGGAGGTAAGAGACAGGGCCTAGAAATAAGGCTCAGGAAACACAGCAGTCATTCTCTGCTGGAAAGCAGGACAGTTGGCTTGTCCCACTGTGCTCAGGGGAGGCTTTGGAATGGCTTTGAGGAGCAGGGTCCCAGGCATGGGATCTGAACTGTGCCATGAGGACTCTGCTCCTTAAAACTTCTACCCTGACATTCTCACCTTGCACTGGAAGGAAGCTCTATTTCTACAAAGGAAGACCAACTGCAAAACTGCAATCTATCTTAAAAGTAATCACAGGGGCTGGTGGTGTAGCTCAGGGGTGGAATGCAGGCCTAGCATGCACAAGACCCTGGGTTCTATCACCAGCGCTACAACAATGTTATAATAATGGCAGCAACAATATAATGGTGTCAACTGACCCCTTACCCCTTTTTCTGTGAAAGAAAGACGGGAAACACAGTCCTCAGAAGGGATCATTTCTACATCTAAAAAGTAGCCAGAAACCATAGCTGAGACATGGTGGGCTTGGGGTAGTCAGAGCATTAGTCAAGATGTCTTCAGGAGACCACTTTCCCTGGGAGAGAGAATGTGGGGATCACCAGAGTGAACCTCAGGCTCCTTAAGAACAGCACCCCTCAGTGGCTGCAAAGTCAGGCTGAGTGCTGAAAATAATTTTGTGACTCAGGCTAAAATTCTTTTATATTTAGCCCAGGATGACAAATCCGTGGACTATGCTTTTCAGGGGTGAGTCTGAAGCTGGCCAAAGGGCATTTGGTACCAGCACCATTTTTATTTAGATTAGTGGGCAACAAGGCATTTTATAGTACAGACTAGGTCTTATCATGAACAGTAATATTCTACTTTATGTTCAGCTGACCTGTGCAAAGCCTTCTTGGCCATTACCAGCTGCTGCCTGCTCCAGACCCTTGGAGTTCTGGCTACTGGACCACCTGGCTCTCTCTCCTGCCTGGCCTCCCTGTTCCTTCTCGGCTGCCAGCATGTAGCTTTGCCTGTGCCTCTCCAGACACCATGGTTTGGATACAGTTTGCCCTCCGAAGGTTAGAGTGCTGCAGGCTTTGTTTGCAGTGTGGGGATGTTGAGGCAGTGGGTACATTAGGACAAGGGGTCCAGTAAGAGGCAAGTAGGCAGGAGTCCCACCCTCATGAATGGGTTGATCCTCTCTGGTGGGACTGGTTCTCATGCAGGTTGGTTCTAAAGCAAGGCCACCACACACACTCAGCCAATTCTCTTGCACATAGCCAATTCTCTTCCTGTTTCTCTTCTATTCGTGACGCAGCCAGGGGATCTCATCAGATGCTGGTGCCAAGCTGTTTTGACTTTTCAGTTGCCAGAACTATGAGCCAAATAAGCCTCTTTTCTTTACAAAGCACCTGGCTTCAGCTGTTTTCTTACAGCAATAAAACTTAGACAAAGACAACAAGAAAGTATCAATGGGCTTGTGGGGGGCTCAGAGCCAAAGCCTCTCTCTCTTTACCTGAGCAGCCTCCTTCTTGGCCCCTGTGGACATCCTCATCCCCTCCCCACACTGTCTGCAGTCTTTCTTGCAGCAGAATGCAGCTGACGATAACTCAGCTGTCCTTGGAAAGGAGGCCCTCTTGGGATGCTGTCCCAGATCTTGCCTCTTGATCTAGGGCCCTGGCACCACCCATTTGTCTCTGTGGCACCCCCTCAGAGTATCTCTCTGCAGGCTTATGGTCTTTGTGCTCACAGCCACGTGACCACAGTGATCTCAGGCTGCCCCTAGCCATGACAGGCTCCCCACTCTGGCCTTTGGCCTTTTGAGCACAGTGGTTCTGCGTCCCCTCCCTCCATTCCTGGGAGTGCCAGCTCCAGGGGCACCCCTTCCTGGAAGCCTTCCTTGTATCATCCCCTCTTGATCCAGCACAATTATCCAGTCCTCCATTTACTTCTAAGTGCCAGAATCACTGGAGATAAAAATTGGTTTCTTGCGTATCCTGCTCTTAAATGGTTGGCTCACACTGGGTGCTGGATATATTTATGGATTCTTTTCTTTCTACTGCACCCTGCCTTTCATGCACCCTAATTCCTGTCAGTCCTGAGTCCCTCCTGCTTTGCTCCGCCTCCTTGTTAGTAGCTTGCCTCAAGTCACCATCCTGTCTACCTGCAGGGCCTGTCTCTCCTCTGGGCGCTCCTGCTCGTGTCCCCACAGCACTTTCTCTCCTGAGCAGCTTGGCAGTGGAGTGGGGGTCCCTCAAAGATAAAAGCCCGAGATTCTCTTAAAATGAAATTTTCCCACAGCCAGCTGCAACTTCCTGTCTTCTCTCTTCCCCGTCCACACTCTGACCTCCTGCCAACTCCCTGGATTCCTCCTATCACCTCCCTCCTCTCAGCGTGGCCAGTACTCCCTGCCTTCTCCCTCTCCCCACATCTACATCCCTCTCAACTTAAGCTTGCCTCATCCAGCCAGGTTTACCTGGGAGCAGCTTAGCCACTGCATGAGCACTCGAGGTCCTGACCTCCGCCGGCTCCCTCCTGGCTGCTCTCTCCCCGTCCTGCGCTCAGCTCCCCACTCTGCACTCTGCGTGCCTGGCTGTCACTCCTTCTTCTGCAGAGCAGCCGGCCACCCCTGCTGTCTCTTCTGGGCCACAGGCGCCATCCTTCTTCTTCACTCCCTCCTCCTTTCTCCCACCACCAAGGTTGGCATCCCTGCTGTGTGGAGGTCCTCAGTCCATTATTTACCCTGTCACAGCTGCTGCCTCCCAGGCTGTGATCCTGTTCTCACCTCCTTTTCCAGCCCACACTTGCTGCCCCTGCTCCTTATCTGCACATCTCTGGTCACCCACTGCTTCCCCCTCCCCCCCACAGGTCCCCCAGCCTTCTGACACCGCCCCTGTCCCTTTAGGGTCTGCTTGTCTCGCCTGTGGCTCCCAGGGTACCACTGCTATGGTCATTTCCACTCTTTGTCAGTTGGTTTCCTTTGCTGCCCCATCCTGGCTTAGTATGGGGCTTTCTCTTCACTGCAGGCTCCTGGCAATGCCATCTACATTCACAGTTTTAAAGACTGGCTTCAGAGTGACAATACTCACCTTTCTGTCCCCAGCTCAGACTGCTCTCCTATCGGACTCATCAGTCCAGCTACCTGGCACACACCTCCACGTGGGTGTGTGTCGGTGTCCCACACTCTCCCTGCCTGTGTTCGCTGGGGGACTGGTGATGCATTGCATCAACGGGAAGGTACAAGGATATCAGAGAGGAGAACATGCGAGGTGGAAAAATAAAGCCAGGAAGGAAGACAGGGTGTGTGCGCACGCGCTGTGGCTAGGTATGGCCGTACACATTTTGAAGAAGATGGCCAGGAAAGACCCGGTGAGAATGTGACATTTGAGGAAGGAGCAGAAGAATCAGGGGAGTCTGAAGGAAGAGGATTCCAGGCCCTGGGAACAGGAAGTGTGAAGGCCCCACGGGGCCTGGTAAATCTGCAGAAAAATGATGAGCCTGATGTGGCTACCGGAGAGTCACAGAGCCCACAGAGGACAGCTGAAGTTAGGACTCCACCTCCACTGGGTTCCTGGTGCCCTCCTCCTCTGTGTGGGCCACCATACCTCTCCCCTTGCCTGGATGCTACCACACCCCTCCTCCAGTCTTTTCCGAACCTGACAGCTAGAATGATGTAAAAAAAAAATCCAATTAGGTCACATCACTCCTCTGCTCAAAACCCTCCAACAGCTGTGAGGATGATACACCTGCCCCAGGGGGCAGCGCCTGCCTAAGACAGACTGATGAGGGGACTGGAAGGCCAGGCTCCTTGCCCCTCAGTGGCACAGTTCTGCACTGCCCTCTTTGTGCTCTACAGGTTCTAGGTGGGGTGAAGGAGCCCACCTGGCCTTTGGATTTAGCGCTCCCCACTCCACCCTGCTTCTATCTTCCTCCCAGAGAGCCATCCTCAGTTACTCCTTTATAAAAAGAACCTCCATCTCAAACTGCATCTAGGGATCCTGACCCAAGACACTTGTCCAGTGTGTGGGTATGACTCTGAGCTCTTGAGCTGGGCCTAACCTTGGTTACTACCTCAACTCTTCTGCCC